GTGGACAGTGCGGGGACGCTCTGCGGGCTCTGTCGGATCGGTCAGTGCCCATGGGCTCACCTTCCTCAGACGGGCAGGACCTTGGGCGTGGCCACAGGCTGCGCAGGACCTGAGGGCGCAGGTCCCCTAACGAAGGACCGAAGGACCGGTGCGGTCCTGGTTTCCCGTGTTGGTCTCGGTGGTTCTCTGATTGGTCTCAATGTGCCAACCGCGTGTGATCAGACTGTCTTCGGGGAGAAAGGAGCTCTCACAGCGCCCAGGCCCACACTCGCCCGCCTGGGCAGCGGGGCCAGAGGTGGCCCAGAGCCAGACTCCCCGCCCTGTTCGCTGGGGCAGGAGCGGGTGCACAGGCTGGAAGTTGTGCAGGTGAAGAGAAATGGACTCCAACCAAAAGCAGGCAGGAGGGCCCACAGGTGTCTGGGACCCAGCACTGAGCTCAGGTGTCTTCCTGGGCCCGGGAGCCATGGCTATGCTTGGGCCCCGGTGGGTCCTCGGCTGCTTGAGATCCGTGCTCCGTGCTGGGAGGGCCCCGTGCTGGGAGGGCCTGGTGCAGGGAGGGTGTGGGGAGGGCCCGGTGCGGGGAGGGCCCGGTGTGGGGAGGGCCGGGTGCAGGGAGGGGAGGTGCGGGGAGGTGCGGGGAGGGCCCGGTGCGGGGAGGGCCCCCGTGTGGGGAGGTGCGGGGAGGGCCCGGTGCGGGGAGGGCCCGGTGCGGGGAGGGCCGGGTGCAGGGAGGGTACCGGGAGGGGCCGGTGTGGGGAGGGCCTGGTCCTGGTCCGGGGAGAGCCTGGCGGAGAAAGGCCCTGGCCTTGAGCGCACGGGAGCACCTGCCAGCTTCACTCCCTGACTGCCCAGTGGGCGCTCTGTCCCCAATGTCCTGTGATGTCAGATGAGGGTCTGAGCAGAGGCATCTGGTCTGAAACCAGAGGTGCTCCTGCTGCAGTCTGTGTTCTGTGTCCGACATCTGGACACACCGGCGCTCCTTTTCTCCCGCTGCCTTCTCGCGGGAGGTCTGCTCCCCGTGCTGCATGCGTGCGCACACGCCTCATGGCCCTCCTTCCTGAGCACCCCTCCCTCCTCGTGTGCATCTCCGCCCGTGACTGTGTGGCCCCAGGAGCCACATTGCATTGGTTTCTTTCTTTCTTTCTTTCTTTCTTTCTTTCTTTCTTTCTTTCTTTCTTTCTTTCTTTCTTTTTTTTTTTTTTTATATATTTTATTGATTTTTTACAGAGCGGAAGGGAGAGAGATAGAGAGTTAGAAACATCGACGAGAGAGAAACATCAACCAGCTGCCTCTTGCACACCCCACACCGGGGATGTGCCCGCAACCAAGGTACATGCCCTTAACTGGAATCGAACCTGGGACCTTTCAGTCCGTAGACCGACGCTCTACCACTGAGCCAAACCGGCTTCGGCTGCATTGGTTTCTTATCCAGAGTAGCATCTTGAGAAAAAATTTCCTGGCAGTTGTCAGCTGATTAGATGGTCATTCACATCTGTAACAGGAAGAAAGCAAAAGGGCTGGGCATGAGGTGAAGTGGGTGAGGTGGGAAGGCGCTCCTGTCCCTCTAACTTGGAAGGAGGACGGGCTAGAGAGGTGCAAGCCAGGCTCAGGGAAGCCCGGGCATGGCGCCGAGGGGAAGCCTCTCCACTCCTGCTCTCCGCACTCCTGCTCCGTGGCCTGCAATTCCTGCGCCTCCATAGCCCTGTGGTCTGGCAGCCACACAGTCCACGGCCCAGACCTGCACATGATGCCTGCAGCAGGGAGCACAGCTGAGCCAGTGTGCGGGCGGGACGGCTTCCACATGGACAGAGACCGTGGCCTGGCCGTGGCCTCATCCCGGCCCTGCCCAGGACGGCTGGACTCTTCATGGCGAGAAGGAGGATGGGGCGTTGGACAGTAGGGGCCAAGTCCATGGGAGTGAAGAGACTCGGGAAATGCCTTTCCTTGCCAGTCGCCAGAATTCTACTTGCACTGCGTCTCCAACTGAGCACCCCTGGAATGAGCTCTGGTGAGGCTGCCCACGCTCACCTCCCCCAAACGAGCCAACGCACACGCTCACGCACGCACACGCTCACGCACGCACACGCTCACGCACGCACACGCTCACGCACGCACACGCTCACGCACGCACACGCTCACGCACGCACACACACATGCACGCATATACACACACGCACATGGGAGCAGCTCGCCTGGGCTGTTTCTGCGTTCTCTCCTCGCAGCTGCTCTCTTCGCTAAATACACCCCGGATGTCACTGCTTCCCTCGGTCTCCGAGTCGCCTGCTTCAAGCCAGGTCGCCCGCACCTTGGCAATGACGTCCCAGGCTGGCACAGCTGCTCCTGGTTCCCCAGGGCACCCCAGAGTCTGCCTGGTCCAATGGGTCCCTGCTTTGCTCAGAGCATGTAGGGCCCACCACTCAGACGGAAAGCCTCCTGTCACTATGGTCCAAAGTTCTGCACGAACTGGCTACAGGTGCCCTCCGGCTTCCCGGCCTCTGCCTCTCTCCCCTTACCAAGTCACCATGTAACACCTGTACCTCTCCCCTCATCACGTCACCGTGTAACACCTGTACGTCTCCCCTCAGCATGTCACCATGTAACATCTGTACATCTCCCCTCATCATGTCACCGTGTATCACCTGTACCTCTCCCCTCATCATGTCACCGTGTAACACCTGTACCTCTCCCCTCATCACGTCACCGTGTAACACCTGTACGTCTCCCCTCAGCATGTCACCATGTAACATCTGTACATCTCCCCTCATCATGTCACCGTGTATCACCTGTACCTCTCCCCTCATCATGTCACCGTGTAACACCTGTACCTCTCCCCTCATCACGTCACCGTGTAACACCTGTACGTCTCCCCTCAGCATGTCACCATGTAACATCTGTACATCTCCCCTCAGCATGTCACCGTGTATCACCTGTACCTCTCCCCTCATCATGTCACTATGTAATACCTGTATGTCTCCTCTTACCATGTCACCATGTAACACCTCTATGTCTCCTTACTCTGTCACCGTGTAACGCCTGTACGTCTCCCCTCAGCATGTCACTGTGTAACTCCTATATGTCTTCCCTCATTATGTCACCGTGTAACATCTGTACGTCTCCCCTCATTATGTCACCGTGTAACATCTGTATGTCTCCTCTTACCATGTCACCATGTAACACCTCTATGTCTCCTTACTCTGTCACAGTGTAACATCTCCGCTTATCATGTCACTGTGTAACACCTGTATGTCTCCCCTCATCATGTCACTGTGTAACACCTGTACATCTCCCTTTACCATGTCACCATGTAACACCTCTATGTCTCCTTACTATGTCACAGTGTAACACCTGTATGTCTCCCCTCATCATGTCACTGAGTAACACCTGTACGTCTCCCCTCAGCATGTCACTGTGTAACACCTGTACGTGTCCCCTTATCATGTCACCGTGTAACACCTGTACGTCTCCCCTCATCATGTCACCATGTAATACCTATAAGTCTCCCCTCATCATGTCACTGTGTAACACCTATAAGTCTCCCCTCAGCATGTCACTGTGTAATACCTGTACATGTCCCCTTATCATGTCACTGTGTAACACCTGTACTCTCCCCTCATCACGTCACCATGTAACACCTATAAGTCTCCCCTCATCATGTCACTGTGTAACACCTATAAGTCTCCCCTCAGCATGTCACTATGTAACACCTGTACATGTCCCCTTATCATGTCACTGTGTAACACCTGTATGTCTCCTTATCATGTAACACTTGTATGTCTTTTCTATCCTGTTTCTTTCCAGTCTCCCTCGTTAGAATGTTACTTTTGTTAGGCTGGGGATTGTTGTATGACATATTCTCATCTGTGCCATCTTAGTCTAGAGCTGTGCCTGCAGAGTGTAGCCATGCAGTGAACAGTGAGGGGGCCATGGACCAGGGATGGGTGCCCCCTCTGGCTGCTCCATGGAGTCTGTGTGCCCTCAGCCCTGCAGCGCTGGGCTGAGATTTGCCCTGAATTAAAAGGATGGAATCAGCTCGTCTATGAATTGATTAGAATTTGTAGTTATAGAGCCACTGTAGTTACCATGATTGTGAGGCTACACAACTGAGTCCCACATTGTAGGTCAGTAAGGAAAAGAAGAGTTCATATAACAGCCTGAGTTCTCATAGGAATATACTCAGTAATATTGTGCTAAGGCTGTATGGTGCCACATGGATACTAAACTTAGTGGCTTGTCATTTAGTAAATTATAGGTCAGTTTATTGTACTGTGTACCTGAAACTAATGTAATATTATATGTCAACTGGAACAGAATTTTTTCTAACTTTAAGAAATAATGTAAGCAGGAAAAATCTGTATATCTAATAGAAAAACATGTTAATTAACCAGGATGCCATAACAGGTCTTCTGGACAGGAGGAGGTTGTGTGTGCAGCCTGGGGGGCGGAGCTGAAGGGGCCTCCATGCCAAGGCTGCTTCAAGGGCCAGAGAGGGAGGCAGGGCTGGGCCGGCGACTCGAGGGTGGGTGGTGCCGTGCGATTTTGAATCGAGTGCTGGGCTCCTGGTGTATAAATAATGACCGAGTTTTAGTTGCAGCTCCATAAACACAGGGTGGCTGGGCACACGGCAGCCTGTCCCCGGAGCCTTCCTCACTCCTCTGCTGCCCGCTCTCACGTGTAACAGTGAGAGCCGCCTCCCGGGCTCACAGAGGGCTCCTGCACCGCAGGCTGTACAAGCAGACCCAGTACCCGGACCTCTCTACGCAGAAGAAGCCATTTCTGCTGCTGCTGCTCTTTCTTCAGCGCTCTTTCCTTGGCCATCCCTTCACATGTCTACACACATGTGGCATCCTACACGCCTCCCCACTCCACCCGCTAGTGAAGTAGCACAGGCAGGACATCAGGGAGAAGGCAGGTTGAAGTCAGGATGCCCCATTCTCTTGGGTACAGCGGGGAGGACTCCGAGCCCTGGTGCTCCTCAGTCAGCCCTGTCTTCTCCCGCACAGGAAACGACCTGTTCCTCGTGGCCGTGCACGAACTGGGCCACGCGCTGGGCCTGGAGCACTCCAACGACCCCACGGCCATCATGGCCCCGTTCTACCAGTACATGGAGACCGACAGCTTCCAGCTGCCCAGCGACGACCTGCAGGGCATCCAGAAGATCTACGGTGGGTACCTGGGCTGCGTGGTTGTTTCTGATGTGTAGACTTTAGAGAGAGGGAGGGAGGGACATAGAGAGAGAGAGACCAGCTCCTCGCTCCACTTATTGACACATCCTTTGATGGCTTCTGCCTGGAGATCGAACCTCCTACCATGGACTATCAGGGTGATGTCCTAACCAACCCAGCTACCTGGCAGGACTTTTATACTTTTTAAGAAATTAATTTATTTGAGTTATTTTCTGAAGTATAAAAATTGGTTGTATTTTTTAAACCACTGCTTCCATTTGCTTAACCCTGCAGAGGAGTCCAGAAATTCCTGCTGTGCCTGCTTCTTTGAAATAGGTGCTATCAGTACATTGAGAGGAAATGCTAGAGAAGCAATCTTACTTATTGGCCAAAGCCTTCACTCCATCAAGTTTTTTGGCAGTAAGCCAAGATGCCTGAATAGACAGATTATGAGAAATTCTTAAACACGGATAAGAGTTTCTCACTGAGTTTCATTGAGACATGTAGTTACAGTAAAGCGCTGATAACATTCAGTGTTTAAGTTCAGGTAAAAATAGGTGATAAATGACTGTGACCAGTAAAAACGGTGAGAAACATAAGCTTTTCCTCTAACATCTGAGGCTTTGGTGCAGACTCACAGGCTGTCTCTCGGGTTACGATGCTGCTGTTAGATATTTCATAGACAAATCACCTTTGAAGTTGCAGAAAATGCCCTTGCTGGTTGGATATAATGAAACGGCCTCAAAGGCCTGTCGTTCTAAGAACGAAAGTTAACGAACGAGGGCGTCAACGTTAACAGATGGCCATGCTGACTCACATGTATCCTAAGTGCGTGTCCAGTGCAGTGAGGGCGCTGTTATTTGTGGGGCCCGGTCTAGAATGCAGGTACGATGAAGGGAAAAGGACTATCACACATTCCACCATCACCCGCTCCCTCATCGGACCTCGGCCTGGGAGGGCATTGCTGCCATAGGCTGTGAAGTCCTTGGCGCTCATCGCCTGCAGACGGAGGTCGTGCTGTGCTAACCTGGCGCCTGTGCCTCCCGCTTCCTCTGCTCGCCGAGGCTGTGCAGGCGGAACGCCCAGTGCCCAGGAGATGCTGCCGGCAGTTTAAGTGGCGGCATTTCAGTTCACTAATCCTGTGTGCATTCCTTAGTTCGTCCGCTGCAATAGCTCAGTGGTAAGCATTCTCACCGGGTTAGAACAGATTTGAAATACACAGGTCCACTGTGTGTAGCTCTTGATTTTTGGGGAGACTCACAAGGTGACGTTTCTGGGACACTGGACACGCTGAGTATCCGAGGGAACTAGCAGGTCCTTCCTGGGGCCGAGTCAGGGGTCTGGACAGAAGGTCTGCAGATTAAGCAAGCAGGTCATTGCTTTTTTCTCCTCTTTTGTAAATCTTGGCATACTCTTCATTTATTTATTCATTTTTAAAATTTTCATTGTTGAACATATTACATATGTGTCCCCTCTCCCCCATTCACACCCTCCAGCCCATGCCTGCACCCTGTCCCAGGCTCTCACCACCTAGCTGTCCGTGTCCATATATATAGTACATATATACTATAAGGTCTTTGGCTAATTCCACCCACCCACCTACCCTCCCCCGTCTTCCCTCTGAGTGTCCACAGTCTTTTCCAGGCTTCCATGTCTCTGGATCCTCTGTTCATAAGTTTATTTATGTACCACAACTTTTCCACCCACTCATCTACTGATGGGTCCTTTCCAGATCTTAAATTGTGCTGCTACGAGATCGAACAGGGGTGCATACATTCTTTCTGATTGGTGTTTCAGGTTTCTTAGGATATATTCCTAGAAGTGGGAACACTGGGTCAAATGGGAGTTCCATATTTAATTTTTTTGAGAAAACGCCATACTGTTCTCCACAGTGGCTGCATTCCCACCAGCAGTGCCCAAGGGTTCCCTTCTCTCCACATCCTCACCAGCACTTGTCATTTGTTGATTTATTGATGGTGGTCATTCTGATAGATGTGAGGTGATACCTCATTGTCATTTTAATTTGCATCTCTCAGATGATTAATAACTTTGAGCATGTTTTCCTATGTCCTTTGACTATATATATCTACTTTGGAGAAGTGTCTATTTAGGTCCTTTGCCCATTTTTAATTGAATTGTTTGTCTTTGTGTGTGTGTGTGTGTATGTGTGTGTTTGTGTATGTTAAGATGTATGAGTTCCTTATATATTTTGGATATTAACCCTTTATCAGATGTATCATTGCCAAATTTGTTCTCCCGTGCAGTGGGCTCCCTTTTCACTTTGCTGATGGTTTCTTTTGCTGTGCAGAACCTTTTTATTTTGATGTAGTCCCATTTGTTTATTTCCTCCTTAGTTCCCTTTGCCTTAGGAGATGTAACCATAAACATATAGTTACGGGTGATGTCCTAGATTTGCTGCCTATGGATCCTTCTAAGATTTTTATGGTTTCTCAACTTACATTTAAGTCCTTTAGCCATTTTGAGTTTATTCTTGTGTATGGTGTAAGTTGGTGGTCTAGTTTGCATGTATTTGTCCAATTTACCAAACACTATTTATTAAAGAGACTGTCTTGATAGTCTTGCCTCCTTTCTTAAATGTTAATTGAGTATAATGGCTTGGGTGGATTTCTGGGTCCATGTTTTGTTCCATTGATCTATATGCTTAATCTTGAGCCATTACCAGGCTGTTTTGATTAAAGTGGCTTTGTAATATAATTGAAATCAGGTATTGTAATTTCTCCAACTTTGTCTTTCTTTCTCAGCATTGCTGCAGCTATACAGGATCTTTTATGATTCCATATACATTTTTGGAGTATTTGTTCTAAATCTGTGAAATATGCTGTTGGTACTTTGATAGGGATTGCAGTGAATCTATAGATTGCCTTGGGTAGTATGGATATTTTAATGACGCTGTTTCTACCAATCGTGAACATGGTATATTCTTCCACTTGTTTATATCATCTTCTATCTCTCTTTTCAGTGTCCTGTAGTTTTCTAAGTACAGGTCTTTTGCCTCCTTGGTTAAGTTTATTCCTCGGTATCTTATTATTTTTGTTGCAATGGTAAGTGGGATGTTTATTTAGTTTCTCTTTCTGAGAATTCATTATCGGTGTATAAAAAAAGCCATTGATTTTTGGGTGTTGATTTTGTATCCTGCTACATTGCCAAATTTATTTATTAAATCTAGTTGTATTTTGGTGGAGTCTTTAGGTTTTTCTCTGTACAATATCATGCCATCTGTGAATACTGAAAGATTTGCTTACTCCTTTCCAATTGGCATGCCTTTTACTTCTTCTTCTTGACCGATGGGTGTGGCTAGGATTTCTATGCCTTGTTGATAAGAGTGATGAAAGCGGACATCCCTGTCTTATTCTTGCTCTTAGGGGAAATGGTTGTAATTTTTGTACATTGAGTCTGATGTTGGCTTTAGGTTTGTCACATTTGGCCTTTATTATGTTGAGTATGCTTCCTTTATTCCCTCTTCACTAAGGGTTTTTAATAAAAAATGGATGTTGGATTTTGTTGAATGCTTTTTCTGCATCTATTGATATGATCATGTGGTTTTTGTCTTTCAGTTTGTATATGTGATGTATCACATTTATTGATTTACAAATATTGTACCAGCCTTGCATTTCTAGAATAAATCCCACTTGGTTATGGTGTATGATCTTTTAATGTATTGCTGGATCTGATTTGCTAATATTTTGTTGAGTATTTTAGTACCTATGTTCATCAGGGATGTTGGTCTGTAATTCTCTTTCTTTGTACTGTCTTTATCTCATTTTGAAATTAGGATAATGTTGGTCTCATAAAAGAGCTTTGAAGTATTCCCTCCTTTTAGACTTTTTTTTTAAAATAAATTTTTATTGTTCATATTATTACAAATGTTCCTTCCCCCCATTGCTCTCCTCCACCAGGTTCCCATCCCACCCTCTGCCCTATCCCCACCCCTCATTGTCCTCATCCATAGGTGCACAGTTTATGTTCAGTCTCTTCCCACTCTTTGGGTAGTTCTGAGTAATGTCCATTTTAGTTGTATTTATGTTCAGTCTCTCCCCTTTTCCCCAAGAATTGTCAGTTCACTCCCCTTCCATACCTCTGCTTCTATTATATTCACCAGTTAATATTGTTCATCAGATTTTTTTTAATTTCCTTGGTTTTTAGATTCACTTGTTAATAGTTACGTATTTGTTGTTCATAATTTTTTATCTTTATTTACTTCCTCTTCCGAAAGAACCCCCTTTAGCAATTCATATAATTCTGGTTTGGTGGTGATGAACTCCTTTAGCTTTTTTTTATTAGTGAAGCTCTTTATCTGGCCTTCGATTCTGAGTGATAGCTTTGCTGGATAGATTATCTTTGGCTGTAGGTTCTTACTATTCATCACCTTGAATATTTCTTGCCATTCCCGTCTGGCCTGCATGGTTTCTGTTGAGAAATCAGCTGACAATTGTATAGGTGCTCTTTTATAGGTAACTACCTGCTTTGCTCTTGCTGCTTTTAATATTCTCTCTTTGTCTTTTGCTCTTGGAATTTTAATTATGATTTGTCTTGGTGTGGTCCTCTTTGGATTCCTTTTGTTTGGAGTTCTGTGCACTTCCTGGACTTGTAAGTCTAATTCTTTCACCAGGTGGGGGAAGTTTTCTGTCACTATTTCTTTCAGTATGTTTTCGATATCTTGCTCTCTCTCATCTTCTGGGACCCCCATAATTCTGATGTTGGTTCACTTGAAGTTGTCCCAGAGGTTTCTTACATTATCTTCAATTTTCTGGATTCTCTTGTCTTCTTGTTTCTGCGGAGGAGTGTCTTCTGGCTCTTTATGTTTCAAATCTTTGACTTGATTCTTGTGATCTTCCATTCTGTTTTTAGGACTCTGTATAATATTTTTTTATTTCAGACAATGTATTCTTTATTTCTTGTTGATCCCTTATCATTTCTCGTTAATTTCTTATTAATTCTAGTTGATCCCTTTTCATATCCTCATAGGACTTATCGACCTT